CCCCCCTGTGACAACACTTTCGCTGCCTCCTGCAACCCTACCGATGCACCCACCACCAATCTATAAGTACTCTCATGATATATACCAATTTATGCATTTGTTAAACGTCTTTATGATATGTTAAACGAAGTTACACAAAGTTGAGCCTAACATCATAGATGCAAAAATGCGTGAACATTATCCGACGGAATTATTCATAAATTAAATGCAGATATGCTACGCGGGCTGCGTCATCCAACTTTATGTCAAGTCTGCTATCATTATTATATAATTCACGAATATTTAATATATCATCAATGTGACTTTAAATACCTTTACAGACAATATAAGAATAACCACACTGAAAAATCAGAAATTATAACTTACACCAGCTCTGGTCGGTACACGTGGTTGGTACGAAATCCTGCCCGTGTTAACAAGAATCCTTAGAACTCTGTCCCGGGGTCTGTCAGGACAATGTCACTCAACATCACAGCCCGTCATCAACAGGCTTCGTGGTATGTTAATTGCAATCATTAACGCAGCCGTCCTCACAGCTTATTGTAAAGTAATGTATGGAGAAGTAAACCTAACAAGTAAGTATGTAGGAATGAATGTATGGGGGGGGAAACCTGACAAGTAAGTCTGTAGGAATTAATGTATGGAGGGGAAAACCTGACATAAAGGTCTGTAGCTCTGTAGGAATTAATGTATGGAGGGGAAAACCTGCCATAAAGGTCTGTAGGAATGAATGTATGGAGAAGTAAACCTAACAAGTAAGTATGTAGGAATGAATGTATGGGGGGGGAAACCTGACAAGTAAGTCTGGAGGAAATAATGTATGGAGGGGAAAACCTGACATAAAGGTCTGTAGGAATTAATGTATGGAGGGGAAATCCCGACATAAAGGTCTGTAGCTCTGTAGGAATTAATGTACGGAGAGGCAAAACTGACATAAAGGTCTGTAGCTCTGTAGGAATTAATGTACGGAGAGGCAAACACGACATAAAGGTCTGTAGCTCTGTAGGAATTAATGTATGGAGGGGCAAACCTGACATAAAGGTCTGTAGGAACGAATGAACGGAGAGGCAAACACGACATAAAGGTCTGTAGGAATAAATGTACGAAGAGGCAAACACGACATAAAAGTCTGTAGGAATGAATGTATGGAGAAGTAAACCTAACAAGTAAGTCTGTAGGAATTAATGTATGGAGGGGAAAACCTGACATAAAGGTCTGTAGCTCTGTAGGAATTAATGTACGGAGAGGCAAACCTGACATAAAGGTCTGTAGGAATGAATGTACGGAGAGGCAAACACGACATAAAAGTCTGTAGGAATGAATGTATGGAGAAGTAAACCTAACAAGTAAGTCTGTAGGAATTAATGTATGGAGGGGAAAACCTGACATAAAGGTCTGTAGCTCTGTAGGAATTAATGTACGGAGAGGCAAACCTGACATAAAGGTCTGTAGCTCTGTAGGAATTAATGTACGGAGAGGCCAACCTGACATAAAGGTTTGTAGAAATCAATGTACGGAGAGGCCAACCTGACATAAAGGTCTGTAGGAATTAATGTACGGAGAGGCAAACACGACATAAAGGTCTGTAGGAATTAATGTACGGAGAGGCCACCCTGACATAAAGGTTTGTAGAAATCAATGTACGGAGAGGCCAACCTGACATAAAGGTTTGTAGAAATCAATGTACGGAGAGGCCAACCTGCCATAAAGGTCTGTAGGAATTAATGTATGGAGGGGCAACCCTGACATAAAGGTCTGTAGGAATGTAGGAATGAATGTACGGAGAGGCAAACACGCCATAAAAGTCTGTAGGAATGAATGTATGGAGAAGTAAACCTAACAAGTAAGTCTGTAGGAATTAATGTATGGAGGGGCAACCCTGACATAAAGGTCTGTAGGAATGTAGGAATGAATGTACGGAGAGGCAAACACGACATAAAGGTCTGTTGGAATTATTGTATGGAGGGGAAAACCTGACATAAAGGTCTGTAGGAATTAATGTACGGAGAGGTAAACCTGACATAAAGGTATGTAGGAACGAATGTATGGAGAGGCAAACACGACATAAAGGTCTGTAGGAATTAATGTATGGAGGGGCAAACCTGACAAGTAAGTCTGTAGGAATCAATGTACGGAGAGGCAAACACGACATAAAGGTCTGAAAGAATGAATGTACGGAGAGGCAAACCTGACATAAAGGTCTGTAGGAATGAATGTATGGAGAGGCAAACACGACATAAAGGTCTTTAGGAATTAATGTATGGAGGGGCAAACCTGACAAGTAAGTATGTAGGAATCAATGTACGGAGAGGCAAACACGACATAAAGGTCTGTTGGAATTATTGTATGGAGGGGAAAACCTGACATAAAGGTCTGTAGCGCTGTAGGAATTAATGTACGGAGAGGCAAACACGACATAAAGGACTGAAAGAATGAATGTACGGAGAGGCAACCCTGACATAAAGGTCTGTAGGAATTAATGTATGGAGAGACAAACCTGACAAATAAGTCTGTAGGAATGAATGTATGGGGGGGAAACCTAACATAAAGAAATGAATGAATGAATGTACGGAGAGGCAAACACGACATAAAGGTCTGTAGGAATAAATGTATGGAGAGGCAAACATTACATACAAGTCTGTAGGAATTAATGAATGGGAAAGTAAACATGACAGAAAGGTCTGTAGGAATGAATGTATGGTAGGAATCAATGTACGGAGAGGCAAACACGACATAAAGGTCTGTAGGAATAAATGTATGGAGAGGCAAACATTACATACAAGTCTGTAGGAATTAATGAATGGGAAAGTAAACATGACAGAAAGGTCTGTAGGAATGAATGTATGGTAGGAATCAATGTACGGAGAGGCAAACACGACATAAAGGTCTGTAGGAATTAATGTATGGAGGGGAAAACCAGACATAAAGGTCTGTAGCTCTGTAGGAATTAATGTACGGAGAGGCCAACCTGACATAAAGGTTTGTAGGAATGAATTTACGGAGAGGCAAACACGACATAAAAGTCTGTAGGAATGAATGTATGGAGGGGCAAACCTGGCATAAAGGTCTGTAGGAATTAATGTACGGAGAGGTAACCCTGACATAAAGGTATGTAGGAACGAATGTATGGAGAGGCAAACACGACATAAAGGTCTGTTGGAATTATTGTATGGAGGGGAAAACCTGACATAAAGGTCTGTAGCGCTGTAGGAATTAATGTACGGAGAGGCAAACCTGACTGACATAAAGGTCTGTAGCTCTGTAGGAACGAATGTACGGAGAGGCCAACCTGACATAAAGGTCTGTAGCTCTGTAGGAACGAATGTACGGAGAGGCCAACCTGACATAAAGGTCTGTAGGAATGAATGTACGGAGAGGTAAACCTGACATAAAGGTATGTAGGAACGAATGTATGGAGAGGCAAACACGACATAAAGGTCTGTAAGAATGAATGTACGGAGAGGCAAACCTGACATAAAGGTCTGTAGGAATGAATGTACGGAAAGGGAAACACGACATAAAGGTCTGTTGGAATTATTGTATGGAGGGGGAAACCTGACATAAAGGTCTGTAGGAATGAATGTACGGAGAGGTAAACCTGACATAAAGGTATGTAGGAACGAATGTATGGAGAGGCAAACACGACATAAAGGTCTGTAGGAATAAATGTATGGAGGGGCAAACCGGACAAGTAAGTCTGTAGGAATGAATGTATGGAGAGGCAAACACGACATAAAGGTCTGTAGGAATTAATGTTTGGAGGGGCAAACCTGACAAGTAAGTCTGTAGGAATGAATGTATGGAGAGGCAAACACGACATAAAGGTCTGTAGGAATGAATGTATGGGGGGGAAACCTGACATAAAGAAATGAATGAATGAATGTACGGAGAGGCAAACACGACATAAAGGTCTGTAGGAATTAATGTATGGAGAGACAAACCTGACAAATAAGTCTGTAGGAATGAATGTATGGGGGGGGGGGGGGGGGAACCTGACATAAAGGACTGTAGGAATTAACGTACGGAGAGGCAAACACGACATAAAAGTCTGTAGGAATGAATTTATTGAGAGGTAAATGGGACATATAAGTCTGTAGGAATATATCTAAAGAGAGACAAAAATAACATAAAAGTCTGTAGGAATTAATGTACGGAGAGGCAAACCTGACATAAAGGTTTGTAGGAATGAATGTATGGAGAGGCAAACACGACAAAGGTCTGTAGGAATTAATGTACGGAGAGGCAAACCTGACATAAAGGTCTGTAGGAATGAATGTATGGAGAGTCAAACACGACATAAAGGTCTGTAGGAATAAAATTATGGAGAGGCAAACATTACATACAAGTCTGTAGGAATTAATGAATGGGAAAGAAAACATGACAGAAAGGTCTGTAGGAATGAATGTATGGAGAGTCAAACACGACATAAAGGTCTGTAGGAATTAATGTATGGAGAGTCAAACACGACATAAAGGCCTGTAGGAATAAAAGTATGGAGAGGCAAACATTACATACAAGTCTGTAGGAATTAATGAATGGGTAAGTAAACATGACAGAAAGGTCTGTAGGAATGAATGTATGGAGAGTCAAACACGACATAAAGGTCTGTAGGAATGAATGTACCGAGTCTGTAGGAATAAATGTATGGAGAGGTAAACATTACATATAAGTCTGTAGGAAATAATGTATGGAGAGGTAAACATGACATATGAGTCTGTAGGAAAGAAGGTATGGAGAGGTAAACATTACATATAAGTCTGTAGGAAAGAAGGTATGGAGAGGTAAACATGACATATGAGTCTGTAGGAAAGAATGTATGGAGAGACAAACATGACATATAAGTCTGTAGATTTTATGTATGCAGGGGTAAACAAGACATATAAGTCTGTAGAAATGAATGTGCGGAGAGGCAAACCTGACATGTAAGTCAGTAGGAATGAATTTATGGAGAGGTAAATGGGACATATAAGTCTGTAGGAATATATCTAAAGAGAGACAAAAATAACATATAAGTCTGTAGGTTTTATGCATGGAGAGGTAAACAAGACATATGAGTCTGTAGGAATGAATGAATGGAAAGGAAAACCTGACATATGAGTCTGTAGGAATGAATGTATGGAGAGGTAAACAAAACATATAAGTATGTAGGAAATAAGGTATGGAGAGGTAAACAAGACGTATGTCCGTAGCAATGAATGTATGGAGAGGTAAACAAGACGTATGTCTGGAGCAATGAATGTATGGAGAGGTAAACAAGACGTATGTCTGTAGGAATGAATGTATGGAGAGGTAAACAAAACATATAAGTATGTAGGGAATAAGGTATGGAGAGGTAAACAAGACGTATGTCTGTAGCAGAGAGGTAAACAAAACATATAAGTATGTAGGAAATAAGGTATGGAGAGGTAAACAAGACGTATGTCTGTAGCAATGAATGTATAGAGAGGTAAACAAGACGTATGTCTGTAGCAATGAATGTATTGGGAGGTTAACAAGACGTATAAGTCTGAAGCAATGAATGTATGGAGAGGTCAACAAGACGTATGTCTGTAGCAATTAATGTATGGAGAGGTTAACAAGACGTATGTCTGTAGCAATGAATGTATTGAGAGGTTAACAAGACGTATAAGTCTGAAGCAATGAATGTATGGAGAGGTCAACAAGACGTATGTCTGTAGCAATGAATGTATTGAGAGCTTAACTAGACGTATAAGTCTGAAGCAATGAATGAATGGAGAGGTCAGCAAGACGTATGTCTGTAGCAATGAATTTATGGAGAGGTAAACAAGACGTATAAGTCTGTAGCAATGAATGGATGGAGAGGTAAACAAGACGTATGTCTGGAGCAATGAATGTATGGAGGGGTAAACAAGACCTATGTCTGTAGCAATGAGTGTATGGAGAGGTAAACAAGACGTTTGTCTATAGCAATGAATGTATGGAGAGGTAAACAAGTAGTATGTCTGTAGCAATGAATGTATGGAGAGGTAAACAAGACGTATGTCTGTAGCAATGAATGTATGGAGAGGGAAACAAGACGTATGTCTGTAGCAATGAGTGTATGGAGAGGTTAACAAGACATATAAGTCTGTAGCAATGAATGTATGGAGAGGTCAACAAGACGTATGTCTGTAGCAATGAATGTATGGAGAGGTAAACAAGACTTATGTCTGTAGCAATGAATGTATGGAGGGGTAAACAAGACGTATGTCTGTAGCAATGAATGTATGGAGAGGTAAACAAGACTTATGTCTGGAGCAATGAATGTATGGAGGGGTAAACAAGACGTATGTCTGTAGCAATGAATGTATGGAGAGGTAAACAAGACGTATTTCTGTAGCAATGAGTGTATGGAGAGGTCGACAAGACGTATGTCTGTAGCAATGAATGCATGGAGAGGTCAACAAGACGTATGTTTGTAGCAATGAATGTATGGAGAGGTCAACAAGACGTATGTTTGTAGCAATGAATGTATGGAGAGGTATACAAGACGTATGTCTGTAGCAATGAGTGTATGGAGAGGTAAACAAGACGTATTTCTGTAGCAATGAGTGGATGGAGAGGTCAACAAGACGTATGTCTGTAGCAATGAGTGTATGGAGAGGTTAACAAGACGTATTTCTGTAGCAATGAGTGTATGGAGAGGTCAACAAGACGTATGTCTGTAGCAATGAATGTATGGAGAGGTAAACAAGACGTATGTCTGGAGCAATGAATGTATGAAGAGGGTAACAAGACGTATGTCTGGAGCAATGAATGTATGGAGAGGTAAACAAGACATATAAGTCTGTAGGAATGTATGTATGGAAAGGAAAACCTGACATATGAGTCTGTAGGAATGAATGTATGGAGAGGTAAACAAGACATATAAGTCTGTAGGAATGTATGTATGGAAAGGAAAACCTGTCATATGAGTCTGTAGGAATGAATGTATGGAGAGGTAAACAAGACATATAAGTCTGTAGGAATGTATGTATGGAAAGGAAAACCTGTCATATGAGTCTGTAGGAATGAATGTATGTAGAGGTAAACAAGACGTATTTCTGTAGCAATGAGTGTATGGAGAGGTTAACAAGACGTATTTCTGTAGCAATGAGTGGATGGAGAGGTCAACAAGACGTATGTCTGTAGAAATGAATGTATGGAGAGGTTAACAAGACGTATGTCTGTAGCAATTAATGTATGGAGAGGTAAACAAGGCGTATGTCTGGAGCAATGATGTATGGAGAGGTAAACAAGACGTATTTCTGTAGCAATGAGTGTATGGAGAGGTAAACAAGACCTATGTCTGTAGCAATGAATGTATGGAGAGGTCAACAAGACGTATGTCTGTAGCAATGAGTGTATGGAGAGGTAAACAAGACCTATGTCTGTAGCAATGAATGTATGGAGAGGTCAACAAGGTCAACAAGACGTATGTCTGTAGCAATGAATGTATGGAGAGGTAAACAAGACATATAAGTCTGTAGGAATGTATGGGGTGATACAAATGCGACGTAATGATCTTTAAAAATGTGTATGGAGACACAAACGTGACATAAAGGTCAATAGGAATAGTTGTATAAAGAGACAAACAGGCTATCTCGCGAGATGACCACGCGTTCAAGTTCATGAAATGGATGAACTTTTTCTAAATGTAGCTTGTCTAAGGCATTTAATGAAGACAATCAAATTTGCTACTATTGTCCACTAAGACATCAGCTAGAATAAATGAAGTGGCAAAGTATTAAGGTCGAAGGTCAAGGTCAGTCAAACTTTAGTTAAATCACTTATTCTTAAAGCATTTGATTAATAGACATCACAATGCTTGCTTAATTTTTTCCAACAATGCATACATATTTATAAAAATGAACAATGTCATCTGTAGCCGTACAGTTTTGTGGACAGCTCCTGCACTGAACTGTTTAATCCTCAAAGAGTTATTCCATATCTTCAAATCATATTTTCTTCTAATCTAATATTTTCCTTTTCCTCCTTCTTACAATAAAAACACTAGACTTGTAATTGGAAAATTACGACTCCAACAAATTAATACATTACACATTTTATTTTTTTATCAAATCCGATTAAATGACAAATTAACGGCACTTGTAAAAATTTCATACCTACTTGAAAACTGCAAAAGAAATCAAAAAGAAACTATGATTTTTCAATATCTCTTTATCTCTTAGAAGAAGAAATCATTCGAGATGAAGGAATTTTAGACTGATGATGAAATGATTAAATTTAGATTTTATATTTTCATAACCTTTCAGGATCATACAAAACAACAAAGCTCATATAAGCTTCTTAATCGCAGGGGCCGGCAACATTACTATTCTACAATCAGAAGGTCAATAGCAATATGTCTAGCCCCTGTGCCATTTCTTAACTCCTGAAACACTGTCTACACCTTATTATATTAAAAGAAATTATAAAGAGCAAAAGAGTTTATTCCTAAATCTACAACAAAAGACAGACTACATACATTAGAATTTTACATATTTGCTACAATGCTTAATATCATAAAGGCTTTTATCATAAAAAACATGTCTTCGCTCAGTTTCGCTCAGTTGACATCAAAGGTAAGCCGGGGCTTGTATAGATGTATCTTCTTCTCTACTTAATAGTATAACGTACTTTCGCGTACTATGTCAAATGTATAAATCCTTAAAAATCAATGATACTGGTTGATTCAATAAATTATTGTGACTGATCTTGTTTTAAAAGAAAATGTTTGTCTCTTTTTACAATAAATCACTGAAAAATCAACATCACAAAAAGGAATTATACAAATACTTCACCCCTGAAATTTCATAATGAACTATTCCAACCTTTGAATTTGAAGAGTTCAAATGTGTCTCCAGGGGTGAATGAGTTAATTTCACAAGATGTTTTGCCACTTAGCTCAGTCTCATATCTGCATTAACTATGCAAATCATTTTGAAACAATTTTGATTGAAATGCATTTTGAAACAGAAATGAAGTTTGAATATACTTTTCAACTGTATTTGTCAGATTATAACACTTTCATGTACAGACTGATAAGTACCACATTCTTAAGTCTTTCACCCCTATGAAACTTAAGTTGACACTACCATGCATTGATATGGATAAGTCTATTATGGTCTACAGTGTTGAAAGGGTTAAATGACCTTAGCTGTTTACAGGACATAAACCTAAACTAAAAGACTAACAAATACACTGCATTTAATGTTAAAATTATCAATAAACATTTACTCTGAACTCTTACTAACCCAGGGCAGTTTCTATTATCACTGATACAATACCATTTTGATTGAGAATCAAAGACATTTATAAAGACCAAGTGAACTTCAACAAAGTCCTTTTTAATCCAATACAAATATTAACACTTCCACAGTAGAATCATTTAAACATGTTAACATTACCGACCTCCTGTTAACATTACCGACCACCTGTTAACATTACCGACCTCCTGTTAATATTACCGACCACACCGACCACCTGTTAACATTACCGATCACCTGTTAACATTACCGACCACACCGACCACCTGTTAACATTACCGACCACCTGTTAACATTACCGACCACCTGTTAACATTACCGACCACACCGCCCACCTGTTAACATTACCGACCACCTGTTAACATTACCGACCACCTGTTAACATTACCGACCTCCTGTTAACATTACCGACCACACCGCCCACCTGTTAACATTACCGACCACCTGTTAACATTACCGACCACACCGACCACCTGTTAACATTACCGACCTCCTGTTAACATTACCGACCACACCGCCCACCTGTTAACATTACCGACCACCTGTTAACATTACCGACCATCTGTTAACATTACCGACCTCCTGTTAACATTACCGACCACCTGTTAACATTACCGACCTCCTGTTAACATTACCGACCTCCTTTTAACATTACCGACCACCTGTTAACATTACCGACCTCATTACAGTGTAGGCTGTAATGTCCTACACAAACTATCCTCTCAGAATCAAATCTCCAATCAATATTTGTTTTGTGTTTTTACACAATGGATAAGTTTAAATCAGAGATGTATATAACTTCAGTGGTGGATCCCGAGGGCCCCCCCTGGACATTTGGAAACCCCTCCAGATAGGTTGCTGGATCCGCCACTGATGTGATATCAATTGATATTTTTTTAAAAACCCAAGGCATTATGGGAAAATGTCATCAAAAACCCCAAAGCATTATGGGAAAGTATTATAAAAAATCCCAAAGCATCCTGGGAAATTAAAGTGTCCTCAAAAATACAAATGAATGGGACTTGAATGTCATCTTGGTTTATCTCCTGAAGCCAGGGAATGAGATGGTGTCTAGATGTACAATTTGTAATAAACATAGAACAGGTCTTACAAAACCACCTGCACCTGTAGTAAAAGTAAAAGTATTAGAAAAAATTACAAAACTCCTAACCCCAACCCCACTTCACAAAAGTCAATGAAGTTTTTGCATTGCAAATTCAAGTGTTGATGAAATGTTATTACCTCATTAATATCCCCATAAATGCAGGAATACATGTACAAAGGCCAATTGTGCAGTTTTATTATAGAAATTACTTTGAAAAAACTCACCCTCCTCAGTCATACATTCCACAATACTTTGTCTTTGATGTCTAAAGACAAAAAACAAGCCAACAGGGCAATGTCTGCTGATGTTGCACAAATATAAAGATAAAATAACAAAGAGTAAATATTTTTATAACAGCTTCTTAAATATTGAGAAAAAATCTATAATAAATAGTTAATGTTAAATCACAATTGTGGGACCATCATGCAAATCACAGATACATTAGGGGTATCATCACAAGATAGTTAACAGTCCAGGTTCACTGTTGTACCAACACATCTAAGTGAACAATACGGTATAAATATATGATTCAAACACATGTGTTTAAATACTGAATACCTTCTCAGACATGTGCGCTGATGTGTGAATTATCATAAAATACTTCCAAAACTGCAAAAGCCGGTCCTCCTAATACATCAAATATTGTGTCATAATTATCATTCTAAGCCTGTCCTGATCAAGTATTGTGTTATATCATACCCTGATCCTATTTCAAGTGTCATCATCTTACTTTGTAACTCATTATCCTTTGTTAACAAGAGGCAACAATGGTCTTGAATTGCTCACCATGCTTTTTTGGAAGCTCACATTTCATTTTGGTGGAAACCTGTCTAATAAAGTAAGTTCGGAAGACTCCGACTAAGTTCTAAAAATGTTAGCCATTAAGAATGCTACTGCCAGAACTTGATTGAAACCTGCTCAATGGTTTTGGAAGGGATGTCATATAATGCAAATACTGTCAGACAGCGACGTCTAACAACAGACGAAACACCATAACATCAGTCCACCAGGGTATTTAACACTGCAGGTGAACTAACAGTGAATGTACGGAGATGTATAGGAAAAATCACATAACATTTTTGCCAAAATGACTAGATAAAACAGATTAAACATTTTGATAAAGGGAATAACATTTGCTTCATTCACTCAACACCAGATGAGTCTAATTATTGGCAAATTTTCTTATGTATAAATTGTTGTGAAAAAGAACAACTTTGAAACAAGGTTTTATGTCTCCATGTATACAAGATAAAATACATAGAAACAATCCTCAAATGGGCCTCAAGTTTATTTTAAGTTCAGAAAGATATATCCAAGATATCTTTGTTAATAATGATAGTTTAATTGTATATAAGAACAGATGGACCAGAACGACTCAAGAAAAAACAAACCTGAATGGTCCATGACCCTGTTCATAAGTTTTCAAAAATCTACAGGGTGTAAACGTTGATATCAACCTCTCCATAAACAGGTTCACATTCCAACAAATCAGTCAATATTGCTGTTAACCATGAGCAACCAAACAGCATAATTTTAAAATCTTAAAAAATCATTTCAAAATTGTTTTAAATAAATTTCAAAAACACTCACATTTAACTTGTGCTCCAAATAAGGTCCTGACTGTACAATGTTTTAACTTCCCATATAGATGTAAAATCTTGATACAAAGTATAAAAAAGACAACTTTTAAAAACACATAAGGTCCTTCAAATGACTTTCGATTGACCTTTAAGCTACCCAAGAACTTTGAAGGAGACTCTCAATAACTTATAAGGATGTAGGAGTTATCTCCCTTACAATACCTTATTTTTCTCTTCAAGTCAATAGAAAATTTAATAAAAATCCACCTGGAAAATGACAACTTCTATAAATTACATGTAAAATAAATTATCTACAAATCTGAAGCACTTAATGGAATGAATTGCAAATGTAATTTGTGAAAATCAATGCGAAAATATTTTAAGCACTCTTTTGACATCTATATGAAAATAAAACTATTTTAAATGTGAATTTATGTTTAACAGTGAAATCATTGAATGACCTCCAATATAAGATAAAGATTTTACAGTGCCATAGGGTGAATAACAGTGATGATTCTAGTGAGGTAAATACATTTTTATGGGGCATTATACATGTTGTATTTTCAATTTTACATGGTGTTATATATATAAATGATAATATATGTATAGGGTGTCATATATACATGCATGTAAGATTTTATATACATAGTGATAAAATTAAATGTTATATATTTTTGCAGATTTTACAAGTGTCATATTTTCGCAGGGCTTGACAAACATAACACTTTGGTAGAGTTTTATAAATGTAAATATGTAGATGTTGTATTATGTAATTATCATTATGTATATATGCAATTATGGTCTTTATATTAACATTGCCATGTTGTTGTTTTTTGCAGGCCTTCTCTACAATATTTGTGCAGAATCTTGAACATTACAGAAGTTGTACAATGCAATGTTTTTGCAGTAAATTGTACTTGTAAATAATTGTACATAGCATTATAAAACAGTTGAGACTTTATCCTGTTACCACTAATCCAGTTGTCCCACTATCTATCTAGTGTTTTGAGGGGACAGATATTTCTTCTTATACAAATGCCCCCTTATCTAGCTTTCTCACACTCCACTAAATTTTGTAGAACATCATAACCAAAGTATAGAAGTAATTACTGTTTTAATCTGACAATATACCCATGCCTGGTAATAAGCCCACCCATATATATATATATTACAGTTTAATAGAAATTCCTACAAGTGTTATTTTATTGCCCTGTAATAAGCCCACTCCCCCTACTTTGAGTCTGTCATTATAGGTTGCCCCCCCCCCCCCCCCCCCCC